GTATAACATCAGGGCTGGGCATGGTGGCTCTCACCTGTAATCCTAGCTCTCTGGGAGGCAGATTCAAGACCAGCCTGAGCAAAAGTGAGACCCGTGTCTAAAAATAGCCTGGCATTGTGGTGGGTGCCTGTAGTCCCAGCTACTCCGGAGGCTGAAACGAGAGAATTGCTTGAGCCCAAGAGTTTTTGAGATTGCTGTGAGCTGTGATGCCACAGGACTCTACCAAGGGTGCCAAGTAAAACTCTGTCTCCAAAAAAAGAAAAAAAAGGCATAACATCAGTTCAACCACAAAACACCAGATAAACCCAAATTGAGGGACATTAAACAAAATAACTGATCACTACTTTCAAAGGTGACAAGGGCATGAAAAACAAAGTAAGACTGAAACCTATTAAGACTATAGGAGATGTAAGAGAAGTAACTAAGTGCATTTCCTGGATAATATTCTGGAATACAAAGGACAGTGGAAAAACTGTTTAATAGTATTTCACTAAATGTCAATTTCTTTTTTTTTTTTTTTTCAGAAGGAGCTTCAAGCTGTCGCCCTGGTTAGAGTGCCGTTATACCACAGCTCACAGCAATCTCCAATTTCTGGGCTCAAGCAATTCTCCTGTCTCTGCCTCCCAAGTAGCTGGGACTACAGGCACCCACCACAACACCCGGCTATTTTTTGGTTGCATTCGTCATTATTGTTTGTCGGGCCTGGGCTGGATTTGAACCCGCCAGCTCAGGTGTATGTGGCTGGTGCCTTAGCTGCTTGAGCCATAAGTGCCAAGCCAATGTCAATTTCTTGGTTCTGATCATTGTACTAAGATTTATGTAAGATTTTTTGTGTTTTTGTTTATTTGGGGCAGGCCTGGGCTAGGTTCAAACCCGCCAACTCTAGTGTATGTGGCTGACACCCTATCCACTGAGCTACATGCGCCAAGTCTTTTGTTTACTTTTTTTTCCTTTTTGAGGCCGTGTCACTACATCACCCTCGGTAGAGTCCTGTAGAGTCACAGCTCACAGCAACCTCAAACTCTTGGGCTTATGCCATTCTCTTGCCTGAGCCTCCCAAGTAGCTGGGACTACAGGTGCCCACCACA